CTCCTCCTAGAGGGGGACATGAGACATTGGCCTCCACCTATACCCGATACGAGTCATCCTCCTTCTGTAGAGGACAATGAGTTCCCTGTATACACCATGCATGGAACCCAACTCCTCCTAGAGGGGGACATGAGACATTGGCCTCCACCTATACCCGATACGAGTCATCCTCCTTCTGTAGAGGACAATGAGTTCCCTGTATACACCATGCATGGAACCCAACTCCTCCTAGAGGGGGATATGAGACATTGGCCTCCACCTATAGAGGAACATGGAATCCTTCTATACATGTTACATGGCACCGGACTCCTCCTGTAGGGAGATGAGAGACTTGGACCACCACCTCCATCCTCTCTAGGCTGTATGACTCTCCACCTATACCCGATACGAGTCATCCTCCTTCTCTAGAGGACAATTAATTCCTTGTATACACCATGCATGGAACCCAACTCCTCCTAGAGGGGGACATGAGACATTGGCCTCCACCTATACCCGATACGAGTCATCCTCCTTCTCTAGAGGACAATTAATTCCTTGTATACACCATGCATGGAACCCAACTCCTCCTAGAGGGGGACATGAGACATTGGCCTCCACCTATACCCGATACGAGTCATCCTCCTTCTCTAGAGGACAATTAATTCCTTGTATACACCATGCATGGAACCCAACTCCTCCTAGAGGGGGACATGAGACATTGGCCTCCACCTATACCCGATACGAGTCATCCTCCTTCTCTAGAGGACAATTAATTCCTTGTATACACCATGCATGGAACCCAACTCCTCCTAGAGGGGGACATGAGACATTGGCCTCCACCTATACCCGATACGAGTCATCCTCCTTCTCTAGAGGACAATTAATTCCTTGTATACACCATGCATGGAACCCAACTCCTCCTAGAGGGGGACATGAGACATTGGCCTCCACCTATACCCGATACGAGTCATCCTCCTTCTCTAGAGGACAATTAATTCCTTGTATACACCATGCATGGAACCCAACTCCTCCTAGAGGGGGACATGAGACATTGGCCTCCACCTATACCCGATACGAGTCATCCTCCTTCTCTAGAGGACAATTAATTCCTTGTATACACCATGCATGGAACCCAACTCCTCCTAGAGGGGGACATGAGACATTGGCCTCCACCTATACCCGATACGAGTCATCCTCCTTCTCTAGAGGACAATTAATTCCTTGTATACACCATGCATGGAACCCAACTCCTCCTAGAGGGGGACATGAGACATTGGCCTCCACCTATACCCGATACGAGTCATCCTCCTTCTCTAGAGGACAATTAATTCCTTGTATACACCATGCATGGAACCCAACTCCTCCTAGAGGGGGACATGAGACATTGGCCTCCACCTATACCCGATACGAGTCATCCTCCTTCTCTAGAGGACAATTAATTCCTTGTATACACCATGCATGGAACCCAACTCCTCCTAGAGGGGGACATGAGACATTGGCCTCCACCTATACCCGATACGAGTCATCCTCCTTCTCTAGAGGACAATTAATTCCTTGTATACACCATGCATGGAACCCAACTCCTCCTAGAGGGGGACATGAGACATTGGCCTCCACCTATACCCGATACGAGTCATCCTCCTTCTCTAGAGGACAATTAATTCCTTGTATACACCATGCATGGAACCCAACTCCTCCTAGAGGGGGACATGAGACATTGGCCTCCACCTATACCCGATACGAGTCATCCTCCTTCTCTAGAGGACAATTAATTCCTTGTATACACCATGCATGGAACCCAACTCCTCCTAGAGGGGGACATGAGACATTGGCCTCCACCTATACCCGATACGAGTCATCCTCCTTCTCTAGAGGACAATTAATTCCTTGTATACACCATGCATGGAACCCAACTCCTCCTAGAGGGGGACATGAGACATTGGCCTCCACCTATACCCGATACGAGTCATCCTCCTTCTCTAGAGGACAATTAATTCCTTGTATACACCATGCATGGAACCCAACTCCTCCTAGAGGGGGACATGAGACATTGGCCTCCACCTATACCCGATACGAGTCATCCTCCTTCTCTAGAGGACAATTAATTCCTTGTATACACCATGCATGGAACCCAACTCCTCCTAGAGGGGGACATGAGACATTGGCCTCCACCTATACCCGATACGAGTCATCCTCCTTCTCTAGAGGACAATTAATTCCTTGTATACACCATGCATGGAACCCAACTCCTCCTAGAGGGGGACATGAGACATTGGCCTCCACCTATACCCGATACGAGTCATCCTCCTTCTCTAGAGGACAATTAATTCCTTGTATACACCATGCATGGAACCCAACTCCTCCTAGAGGGGGACATGAGACATTGGCCTCCACCTATACCCGATACGAGTCATCCTCCTTCTCTAGAGGACAATTAATTCCTTGTATACACCATGCATGGAACCCAACTCCTCCTAGAGGGGGACATGAGACATTGGCCTCCACCTATACCCGATACGAGTCATCCTCCTTCTCTAGAGGACAATTAATTCCTTGTATACACCATGCATGGAACCCAACTCCTCCTAGAGGGGGACATGAGACATTGGCCTCCACCTATACCCGATACGAGTCATCCTCCTTCTCTAGAGGACAATTAATTCCTTGTATACACCATGCATGGAACCCAACTCCTCCTAGAGGGGGACATGAGACATTGGCCTCCACCTATACCCGATACGAGTCATCCTCCTTCTCTAGAGGACAATTAATTCCTTGTATACACCATGCATGGAACCCAACTCCTCCTAGAGGGGGACATGAGACATTGGCCTCCACCTATACCCGATACGAGTCATCCTCCTTCTCTAGAGGACAATTAATTCCTTGTATACACCATGCATGGAACCCAACTCCTCCTAGAGGGGGACATGAGACATTGGCCTCCACCTATACCCGATACGAGTCATCCTCCTTCTCTAGAGGACAATTAATTCCTTGTATACACCATGCATGGAACCCAACTCCTCCTAGAGGGGGACATGAGACATTGGCCTCCACCTATACCCGATACGAGTCATCCTCCTTCTCTAGAGGACAATTAATTCCTTGTATACACCATGCATGGAACCCAACTCCTCCTAGAGGGGGACATGAGACATTGGCCTCCACCTATACCCGATACGAGTCATCCTCCTTCTCTAGAGGACAATTAATTCCTTGTATACACCATGCATGGAACCCAACTCCTCCTAGAGGGGGACATGAGACATTGGCCTCCACCTATACCCGATACGAGTCATCCTCCTTCTCTAGAGGACAATTAATTCCTTGTATACACCATGCATGGAACCCAACTCCTCCTAGAGGGGGACATGAGACATTGGCCTCCACCTATACCCGATACGAGTCATCCTCCTTCTCTAGAGGACAATTAATTCCTTGTATACACCATGCATGGAACCCAACTCCTCCTAGAGGGGGACATGAGACATTGGCCTCCACCTATACCCGATACGAGTCATCCTCCTTCTCTAGAGGACAATTAATTCCTTGTATACACCATGCATACCCCTTCTGGCGCGTTTGCCCCCCCCCCCCCCCCATCGTATTCTGTAGAAGATGTGCGGTAGTCCCCCCGCAGGTCCGGTGCTGCGAAGGGTCATGTGTCTGACATGTTTCGGGTGGTGACCTTTCTCTGGTTTCAGGAGGAGCTGGCCTTTGTCTTTGAGATGTTGCAGCAGTTTGAGGACGCCTTGGTCCAGTACGACGAGCTGGACGCTCTCTTCTCCCAGTATGTGCTGAACTTTGGAGCTGGCGGTGAGTGATCTGGGATGTGATTGGCCGGTGGGTAGACGGCATTGTATGGCCTCTTCTTGCCGGTTGGTTGACCTCTCCTGTCTGTCTCCCAGATGGAGCCAATTGGCTCAGCTCGTTCTGCCAGCCGGTCCAGAGCTGGGACGGCCTCTCGTTACGGAAGCCCATAGACATGGAGAAGAGGGATCTGATCCAGAGGCGGAGAGCCAACCTCTTGGATTTACGCAGCTACTTGTTCTCGCGGCAGTGCACCTTACTCCTCTTCCTGCAGAGGCCCTGGGAGGTGGCCAACCGGGCCCTGGAGCTTCTCCATAACTGCGTTCAGGAGCTGCGCCTGCTGGAGGTGAGCTGGAGGACCATGGGTAGTCCGAGGTACGTGGCCGATCCTCCATTGACCTCCCCCCTCCTCTCCGTAGGTGTCTGTCCCGCTCGGGGCGCTGGACTGCTGGGTCTTCCTGAGTTGTCTGGAAGTTCTGCAGAGGATAGAAGGCTGCTGTGAGCGGGCCCAGATGGAGGCCAACATTTCCCACACCGTGGGGCTCTGGAGCTACGCCATGGAGAAGGTTTGTGTCCTGTTGTCCGTAGCTCTCTGACACGGGTGACTACACGGGGCAGACATTCCGAACTAGGGTTCCTCCAGGGGCTCCCCCAGTTGTGGCTGATGGACCTCCCATTTGGTGATGTCGTCATAAGTCGTGTTTATTGCCACGTAGGAGAGCCAGCTGCATGATACCAATGAGCTTTAGTGGTCTGACCTCCATTGTAAGGGGGGGGGGCATTCTTCCCACT